TTAGTTGAATTAGAGAAACACGAATATACACACTTACTAACTGAACGACACATATGCCCACATTGTCAGACGACTTTCAAAAGGAGAGATCACATGTTGAGGCATGTTAAATCCCAACATTTACAGCAGAGCTGCAAATGTCCGTTGTGCGGACAATTGTACAAAAGAAAAGATCATGTAGCAAGACATGTAAGAGAAAAACATAAAATGGGACTTCTCAATGGCAAATTGGTGAAATGCAGTGATATTATTCAGTGATGTGAACTCTTGACGTTGAATTCATCTGAACCGATTTTAAGTTTGTTAAAACCTTCACTTACTTGTGGTAATTGCATTTATCAGACCTAAAAAAGGCGGATGAAATGAGTTTTCTATACACCTGTAAAATTCAGTGTGTACTTGTGTAGATGGTTTATCTTTCTTCTTTTGCCTCTGGCTTTTTCTGTTCTGATGGATGTGAGATCACCTTAAAGAGCTTTTTTAAAATTAAAAGATGAACCCCATGTAAAAGTAGGGAATTAATTGATATTGTGCTGATTGACAGTGAAATTATTTTGCATTTTCACCCTGAACGTTTGTACTTTGTTAAAACAATTATCCGACCAAAGTAAGTCAACACATTTAATCCTTGTTGTTTAAAGTAATTTTATATAAAGTCAACACATCTCAATTTAACATTTTTAATTCTGCCATTGTTTTTCGTTTAAACAAAGCATTAACTTTAATCGTTGTTTTATAATAAGACAGCATGTGTCTTGTACACGGAACTAAGTGATATCACTTGTCTATTCTTTTACTTTCACATAGTAATTCAGTAACATCAATGAAGTGACAAACCTCATATTTTTAATAAAATCAACTTAATTATAGTAAGTTTTTAGTTCAATTTATACATGACACATTACACAGTCGGGTTCTGCTAATATTATTGGAATAATGGCACTTCAAATGGTGTTTCAATACACTATAAATTTTTATTTCAATACACTGCAATAGACATAAAAACCCAAATATGATTAATTAGTGCAATAGTCTTGATGGATAAATGATGATTGGTTTTATTTATTGGTGATATGTTGATTGGAACTGTCAACAGCAACAACCATTGATGCTATAATAATGTTAACATCAGCAAGACAATAAGAGGTATTTTTATTGTTATTTTTGGCGACATTATATTCCATGTCACGACCTTATAGATTTTACACTGCTGTTATTATTGTGTAAATAAAGCTACTATAGAATTAAGGAAAGTAAAGAGATTATGTGTATGTACTGCTTTTCTTCAATTCTTAGTTTTCAGATAACTCAGTTTCTCAAGAAGTAACCTTTGCTTCATATTTATAGTCAACAGAACTTGAGGAAATATCATAATTTAAGCAAATATTTTTAACTAAATGGATAGTTTTCTAATTATTATCAGTTCATACTTCTTTCAAATACGTTTAGTTGGTAATAATATCTGCATAAGTTATGATATGATTCAGGCCCGGATTTATGGAGAGGCAAGTGGGCACCAGTGTCAGGGTGGCACCAAAATCATGATAGTAAAATACAGAGAAATTCACGGACATATCTCTAAATTAAATAAAAAATTATCTACATCGAAAGGTGGACGGGGGTTTGAGGGCGCAAAATCAAGTTTCTGTCCCGTTTTCAAAAAGTTGTAAATCTGGGCCTGGACATATTCTCAATACTACAGCCAAATTCGACGAAGAATGTTTACTAACAAAGCGTTGCTTAGCAACCAATGATAGGCAGATATTAATAACCTTTCTAAACTAGACCACATTATATTTCTTCTATTTTTTTAAATTTAATGTGCAATGTCTTAACATTACAAGGAACACGTCATGTGTAAACAAACGGCAGTGAAAAACCAATTATTTTATTTATAATAATGCAATCAATTCACAATGCTATAGATGCTATAGACACTTTTTTGTTTTAAAGAGTAGAAAGGAATACCAAACTTTCACACGTGGTCGGCTTATATTATGCGTAAAAATAATTTGAGCTTTATTACTATTTTCCATTTTATTTCCTATTTTTCATATTGAAGTTTTATGAGTGTTTCTGGTAATGTATGGCATTAAAAAATATTACTCATAAAATAAGTAATGTGCAGTATCCTCGTGAGAAATAAGAGTTTTATATAATATTTTGTTGTCTAAGTTGTGATGACCCTGATTTGCTTTGCATTTATTTTTCATCGAATTTTGTTGGAGTATAGTAATTATTTCCCTTGACTATAGATAAAAAAGTATCTATATACCTATCTGCCATACCAACACGAGTAGATATAATCTTTATACATAAATCGTAATTTAAACTTCCACAAACAGCTGTGAATTACAGAGTACGCGTTAGAAAAATTTCGCACACTCATCCTGTAGCCACCCCTTGCGAAAGATGCTGTATCTTCGCATAGAGCACTAACCACGGCACCATAGACCTCGTGTAATATTTATATATAAATACAGATATTATAAATGGCGTAGTGAATATGTGCCGCGGCCCAAGTCTTTCGCAAAGGTCGATCATGGGGATAGGTGACCAATTATTGTCGAAGACACGTTAATCCGTTGGTCCCGGCTGCATTTGCAGTCGTTAATACCCTCTAATCCGAATTGGGCCAGCGTTGAGGATCTAGGATCATGGCCCATAAGGAAGGCCCCTGCAGTAGGGACTGAAAGGGCTGATGACGATGTGAAAATAAGAGAAACATTTTAAACAAAATGTTTTTATTAATCATGTTCTGTACAACGTGAGTTTTTACTTCGCTCTCTTTGAAGACATTTTTGTTATTTTTTATAACTTCACACAAATAATTTAAAATTTAGTAGAACCTACTCTGATATAAATCAGTGACGAGATAAAGGAACCAGTGCGCAGAATTGTATAATTGCTTCATACAAGTAAATTGTATTATTATAACAAATTTTTACTGAAATTCCGAACTACTTATTTTACTGAAAATTGGCAAAAACCCAAAACTTGAAAAGATCGTCCTTGATTGAGTTAGGTTAGGTTACAATTTTTCTGTTGTAAAAAAACTGCGTATTACCTCCACGCTTTCAATCAGACTTCTATGCGCACTCATTTCTTTACGCTGACCAAAAAAATATCGAACAAGTTCAAAATTACAATTTATAAAATTAAATTCTAAATATAAATAAGTACATAAATAAATAAAAAAAATCTACTACAAAAATTGACCATTTTTGCTATCTGAGTTATGTAGAAAAACTTTTGTTGAGGCCTTGTTTCCTCCAAAAAATAATATTTATCTGTGAGTTAGTTTAAGAAACAAATAAAACTAAAACTATATACAAATTATCATTATGGCTATCCAAAGCTGTTATATTTCACCAATTAATTATTAGCTAATGAACTGCATTAAGTTGCATATCATTTGCTGCTTCGTAGGTATCTCTATTTCCAAAATAGAGATAGTAAATGCTAGAACTGTAGATCTATATAAAAGGAGGCATGAATTCAGTGGCTGTTTGTTTATAAGTAAAATTAGGCACATGAAATTAATTATTAAGTACTTCGCATCTGTGCACGCATGTGCTTTTTCTTATTATTAAAATATCTGAATTTTAAAAAAGAAAATATTGATAGGGCATATAGACCAATGAATAAAAAACTAATATAAATAAATATACAAAAAAAAAACTTTTTTCATGGTATTACCACAAAAGCAAGAGTAGGTACTCGCTAGGGTTTCCCTTAATTCGCTATTGCCTGGATTACTTTTTAATCCCTTAAAACCCACCTGATTTTTACAATACATCCAGATATGAAATATCGGATAAATAATATAAGATTACAAAATGAAGGGTTACAATTGATTACCACAACCGTATAGAAACCCACCTAGCCGATGAGATTCAACGAAATAGTTGCTTGCTTTGTATGCCTGTATTTCCATATACATGTGACATAGTAGAGAACAACATAGAGTTACCAATCTTTAATGTTAAATGGACTTACTGGAGTGACTGTAATACATTTAAGTAATAAAGTTAGGGTCGAGAGACTGATGATGGGTGAAATTTAACGGTTGTATCATTATATTAATAAATATATATATAAATAATCATAATATTAATATTAGATTATATATTATCCAAGATAAATAAGTACTTTAATAAAAAAAAAGGGCGACTGTTTAGATGCGGATTGCATCTCGGCGGGACCTGTGTGGAGATAACTAAGGCGCGATTGGAGCGATTGTCAAACGTTATCAAAAATTGGGACAAAATAACAATTCAGATTGCATGACATTGTTGAAATCAGGACTGTCCCAGAAAATTCGGAACGGGTGGCGACCCGGTCAGTAATTAGGAACATAATACCTACCTACGCAGTAACTGTTATCTAGAAGTATTTTTTTAGCTCTATATAAAATCTGTTCGGAGGAAGTAAACGAGATGACCTTTATTTTATTGAACATTAGGTTGTGTAACTCTCTTTTGTATTGTTGACCTTGGAGAATTTGTGGTGACAACACTGGTTGCAGTAAACAAACCATCTACTAATTAAATTATCCTCAAACACTAGGCATGTGCCTAGGGGCATGAGGTTACATAAAAAGAATGAGGTTGCAGACAAAGTTTTAAAATGAAAAAAATTACTTATATTTTAAATCAGCCGTTAAAATACATTTGTCTGTTCAATTATTTTGTAAAAATATAAAAATTAAACTATTTATATAACAATAATTAATACCTTTGAGTAAATAAAACTGCTTGAGTGTAACGATACACATATACAATGATATATAAAATTATATACAATGATATACTTTTATATATCATTGTATATGTGTATTGTTAGACTTATAAAATTTAGACTTGTTTAAAAGTAAGCAGTAATGTGTTGGAGAATTATTTATGCAAATTTCCAGCAAGTCCTACTTGTACAAGAAGGTATATCGTTAAGTATAATTCTATCGTAGTTCATAGGACTCTGAGGAAAAGCATTTCTTGATAATGTTCAGTAAGGTAAGGTTAGACTTGTGTAATAGTACAAACAAAACTGTATGGCTGAAGAACTTTCTATGCTGTTATTCAATAGGTTCATAATAATATAATTTATTAGGTTTTGAACATAACCATATTCATGCAGTTTAGCTATTCCTTCATGTAGTTTAGGAGCTAATGACAAAAGATATTCATTATTTATAAGTAGGGGGGTTCAATGATGCACTGATGTCTTTAAATCTACCTTTGAATCTGCCATTTATTGACTATAATTTAAATATTTGAGACATTTTTAGCCCGGTATAGACACTATGCCTAGTGAATTAAATTAAAAAACATATACAGTATCTAATTCTAATCATAAACTTTCTCCAGTTTAACTTATCCAATAAATATTGTTTGTGAAATCACCTTAAAAATACATTTTCCTAACTTACATATAGAATTAAAACCATCATAATCTTTTATGTATACGATTCAAGTGGGTCGCTAAAGACTCTTTTACTTTGAACTTCAACGCACAATAATCACATTGAAAAGTGACATTCTTGAAAGTATGCTTGTTCTCTATATGTTTGGTTAGCTGGTCTTGATCAGTAAATGTCTTCTGACATTTCAAACATTTATTTTCAAGCATTTGCTGTTTCAGTTTTAGATGTCTTCGTAAACAGTACCTCGACTTGAAAGTAATAGCACAGCTGTCGCATTTTGACTTGCTCTTAGCTTGATGGTGTGTTTGGCAATGATTATCTAAATTCGTCTTCTTAGAAAACACAATCTGACAATCGTTACATTCATATGTCGCTTGCTTTTGTTGCACTTGATGATTCGATGTCATATGTCGAAAATAATGACTGTTCTGAGTAAATTTTATTCGACAATACTGGCATGTGTAGATATATTTTCTCTCGTCGGTTTGAGTTGGGCCAATTACTTGGTCCTCGAATTTTCTTATACGATTCGCTGGTTTCGTTATCCTGATCCTAGGACCAGGGCGGCTCGGTTTTCTGTTCATTATTGCGTTGTAAAAAGCTATATAACACTATCGTATTATTACAATCGACAATTTTGATGATTTTGTTGTAAACAACACGTAGGCAATAGGACGGATTGAATGCAAATGTTTGTTTTGTAGATGCACAGTCATACACAAGGCTATTTTGCACTGAAAATACTGGCACTTGAAGTTTGTAGTTAAAGAACAACGTCACAACAAATCTGGAAGATATTTTATTTAATGTAATGGTTGAAAACCATTCGACTACATTCAACAAACATGAACACCTTTCTCCAAAACTGCAAATTGGAAACGTCAAATTTTCTTCTTTGTTTAGTGAAAAAAAACATCATAATAAAAGCAAATGGCTCAATCCATACAGCCCAGTCTTTCGTAATATAAGTCTTCTGCGTCATTTAAACTTTGGTGTTTTTTTGAAATTTTAATATCCTTTGTAATCTTATAGAATCAAATTAAGCTATTTATTTATAGCTTGATTTGATTCTTAAAAGTAAGTGCAAAAAAGAAACGGACGCCAAATTACTTCCACGAGTCGCGCCAATAAAGAACAAAGGAAATTTTATTGAATCCTATATTGTACGTCAACATTACATCAGACTATACAAATCTGTCTTTAATACAAAACGAGATGGTCCAGTTTTACCCAAAACGAAACGGACCATCTCGTTTTATATGTACTTAAAAGTACATATTACCATTTGGGTACGTATTACTAAGACTTCGCTGTCCGTCCGCCCGTTTGTCACCACGCTATATCTTATGAACCGTGACAGCACAACAGTTAAAATTTCCACCGATGAGTATTTCTGTTGCCGCTCTAACAACAAATATTATTTTAGGGAGGCTCCAATACACAAATGTGATTTTTTGTTCAGTTCCGGAACAGAACACCCTGTGCGCGAATCCGATTCGCATTTAGGCTGGTTTTATTTTTACGTTTAGGTACATCTTCACTCGTGAGAGTTTAATAAGTAAACCGGCACAGCGGTCACTAACGAAAACTACGAACCCTTAACGCACTCACTAAATGAACACGTTAATGTTTTAAGTTAATCCACCGTTCAGTTTGCGAGAAGTTATTCATAAGTTGGTTTTAGCTTTAGCGCTTTATTTCACCTAATACGACATTAATCTCATTAACTGAAACCCTACAATTTTGCCTAATTTTCTTTATAAACATAGCGTTAACTTCGTAGGTAGTAAAGTCAGCGAATAAAACGTATTTAAGTAGGTATTTATTTATTTAAAACAAGACTATAAGCTTACCAACGAAATATATACAAGACAAGCATTATTATTGAAATAGTATTATGTATTAAGATACCAAACTTTTTTCATTCTTAGATAATTCGAAATCAAATTATTACATCAGTACAAAATAATTGCTGGTATTTGTAATAATTTATCTTCTTATCTAATAATTTAACGTAATCTATTGCATAATACAATCAATAGAGTTCGATAAATTACATAATTGATTTATGATATTTTTTAAACAAATTAATCACGTACGTTCAAAATCTTCAATTAACGTATTTCAATATTTATCATAATTAAATTAGTATTTAAACGAAGACCTTTTTAGTAAAAACTATAGTTTTTAGTTGTCTCTGGAAATGAATTGCTTTGGCGCACTTTTATTTTGGTCGTTTATTTACACGGCTCTTTGTTTAGATAAAAGTCGGATTGTGAACACAATATATGGCGAAATAGAAGGCTATTTAGCATCTAACGAATTGTATTATGAATATTTGGGTATAAGATATGGACTGCCTGTGAAATTCAGAGTGAGTATCTATTTGTTTTTCTATTTCAGTGATTTCAAACCTAGCGGTAATTAACCCCAAGGAGGTAGGTAAATTTGCTCTGTAACAAAAAACTAAATTTAATAAAACTATAACAAAACCAATTTAGAATATGATTTAAGACTTATGTACTATAATTAAAAATAAAAAGATAATATCGTGAACGTATCCAGAGATATCTTTCGGAAGGGGCCTGTTCTCCAGTTTAATACACGAGGAAGAGGTTTTCCTGTTAGGTTATGGGTAACAATATTAAAAAGTTAAGGAACCTCTTTTCTATTTCACACAAAATGGCCATTTTATATCAATAACAATCTTTAGTATATCTGTTATTCCCTATAGATGGATACATTCAATAATGGACAAACAATGCTTTACAGCTTCCTCGAGTGTGAACTGCTTTGGTATTCCTTAAAAATTTATCGTCAAACGCAGAAGGTTGAAGCAAATAAAACCTTTCATTACCTTTACAAGTAATATTTTTTGAATCTCTTACGTTCTGACCACAGTTTATTCGACGCTATCTTTGATACTGTATTTTTAATAGAATACTACTGCTTTATCGCTTCTAAGATTTGCCAAAATAACCAATATCGTTTGAAGAAAATGCCTTTTTCCCGTGATTGTAACAGCTTATACTCCATTCACTATAACATTAGAAAAAAGAGGGTCATAGAAGCAGCAGTGCAGCACATTTTATTTACAAGATAAATTTAAAAAATCTATATTAGTTTTGTTGAAACTTTGAACGTTAGGTAGTCTGAAAGAGCTGGGCAATTTTCCATTATTTATGATACCTCGGGGTTGAGATGGTGCCAGCATTTTATAAATTCATCTTTTAGTCCCAAGCCAACATAGAACTAAAACTGAAACTATCTGTGTGTTTTGATAAATTCTAATTGTAAGTGTAATAAGTTAGACTATTGATGAAGACATTGGAAAAACTCCCTGAAATGTCAAAGTTTGAGGGTAGGTATGTGGGCTTAGAGCGTAATTTTTATGGACCACTCGGGCCTGTAACAGCATCGTCCATACTTACCAAAACATAACAACAAAAATAAAACAATAACATCACGGAAAACGGCTAAACAGCAAGAAAGGCAGTTCACAATGGATGACAATCCCAGATTACGATTTTAACAATTATGAATAAATAATAGTCTGACAAAATTAAAAAGCTGTACTACCGCAACGCTTGAAGGGGTTAGGCAACGTTTTAAATTTGGTAGAGTTATAGTGACATGAGAATCGTGCCGAAACTATCCAACCCTGCTTCTTTAGGTTTTACTTTTTATTGTAATACTTATTAAATCATTTAAGTTAGTCATATACTCATTAATTTGTTTAATAGTTAGCTTACATGACAACAGTTAAGTATAGCAGCTGGTAATTAAGTGGATATGTAGCAAATTAGCCGTCAGTCTTAAAAGTAACATGATTATTGATTTTTGTCACAAAGTATACCATAAAAAGAACCTTATTTCACTTCTGTCTAATGCTATAATGAATGGAGTATAGAAACCTATATAAGCCTTACGGCCGGTTTCTCAATTGAGAAAAGTACAAAATTTTAACTAATTATTCTCAGTAACTTAAGTTTTTTTCGTTTCACAAGGCAAGAAGTTCTAGTTAAACTGCTATCAACTGATCGTTAAAAAAACTATAATCAAAACGAAAACCTGTTTGTGTGGAAGTCTAAGGACAGTTTGAGACGTTTTTAACTTTAAATACTCAATTCAGAAACCGGCTGTCAATATAAGTCCCAATTGAGTGTTTTTTTGCATTAAAATTTAACTCAATATTATTTCAGTCACCAGTAAAACCTCCTTCTCATACGGATATCTACAAAGCTGACAATCAAGTAGTTATCTGTCCACAATTCCCTTGCAACGATCCTTTAGCAGTGCCAAGCGAAAACGAGGACTGCTTAGTCCTCAATGTCTACTCCCCAAGCGACGTACAAAATACTACACTTCCTGTAATCGTGTTTCTCCATGGAGGCGGTTTCGGTGTTGGCTCTGGAAGTCCAGCCATTTATGGTCCTCAATATCTAGTCAGTCATGGCGTTGTAGTCGTTTCTATCAATTATAGACTCAATGCGTATGGTTTTCTCAATTTAAGAATAAAGGGAGCACCTGGTAACGCTGGCTTGAAAGACATCAGAGCAGCATTGAGGTGGATACAGGAGAATATTAGAAGTTTTAATGGTGACCCTGATAATGTTACTGTGTTAGGTCAAGGCAGCGGTGGTGTCGCTGCATTGTATTTAACGTTATCAGAGTCTACTAAAGGCTTATTCCATAGAATTATTTCTGAAAGTGGTACTATGTTTGCGCCAGAGTCTTTTGATATAGATCCTTTGAAGACTGCGAGTCAGGTAGCAAAGTCTTTAGAAGTTATCACTCTGAACCCTGATGAACTTTTAAATGTATACTCAGAAACGCCTATAGAGAAGTTAGAAGAAGCAATTTCTAAACAGATGAACGCCAAAACTGTATTCGTGCCATCGGTTGAAGAAATATTTGAGGATGAAGAGCCATTCCTAATTGACACACCATACAATATTTTGACTAGAGAAGATAGAGATAAGTGTTTCAATCCCGTGCCTATAATTATTGGACTGAATACCGTCGAAGGTCTGACTAGCACCTTGGATTACTATACTATAACTAGTCAAATGGATCGGATTAAGCACGAAGACTTTACAGTGTTAGACCAGAGAAGTATGGTAGTGCCAGAAGAAGAAAAGGAGGAGTTCAGAAAGACCTTAAAAGACACATACTTCGCTGATATAGATTCAGACGAGACTCTAATAGGTGGTTTCATAAATTTGAACTCTGATTTCTCTTACGTTGGTCCTATGTCTCTTTTTAGTGAGTTGTATTCCAACAAATCTGGCCTACCTGTGTTTCAGTATATATTTAATTACATAGGTAACAGGAATTTAGGTAGGCTCCTGACAAATAGCAGTTTGCCAGCGACCGCGAATCAGGACGAATTGTTCTACTTGTTCGAATTAGAAAGACTTCCGTTGCCAATGGACGAAGATGACGCTAGGATGGTGACTTTCATGACTATGATGTGGACAAACTTCGCAAAATATGGGTAAGTGTCTCATTACCTATTTTTTCATTTATTTTCTTTCTTTGACGTAATTTCAAGACTCGATTATTTTAATAAGTTTCTTCCCAGCATAATGAGCCTTTTTTATGCAATCTCGTCAATGTGAGAAATATGATATTATCACATATTACAGTATATAAAAAAAAACTTTTTTACTATCATTTTGGTTGGTTTATTTCGAGACTTTTTGATTTCCTTAGACATTCCTATTTCAACTATTTACAATTATTGATTTGTGATGGGGAGAACATATCCTTTTATCATTACTTGTCTTTTTATATGAAGTATGGTCCGTATTTTATTTGATTTATTACTTGATTTGAAACAAAATCTATATTAAATTTTTTATTTTTTTCTTAGAATACCGACTCCCGATCCAGACAACGGTGAATGGCTTCCGTTCCCACATCATTTGGCCATAGATTTAGAACCTCAATACGTTTCACCTCTTACACCAGAGAGGGCTTACTTTTGGCGCGCTTTTTACCTTAAATATGGCGCTGAGTTTTCAAAAGAGCGGGAAGAGTCTGCTCCTTATGAATAAATCTCGCGCCATTTAAATACGCGGTACTTAAGTTGAACCCATATGGCTTCTGCTCAGAAGACTGTTTTAGAATCTTAATCGAGGTGCGGGAATGGGACGAACCGTGTAACTATAGCAACGCAGTATGTGCGGGAAATTGCCATTTTGGTTCAACTTACGTATTATAAACAAAATAGACATTATATTTAATTTATTATTATATTATTGTGTACATTGTTTTATTTAATAAATGTGATTTAATGATAGTGTATGCCCATTCGTTTCTTTTTTCTCAATATTTGTGACTAAATTGAGATATTTAATTTAAGAAAACTGAATGTTTATATAATTTTCAATTATATTCGATTACAAACTTGCGACAAATACACAAAATGAAAAGGAGTTCATGGCGTAACAGTTAACGTGTTCGTTTTGCCATTACTTTGGAAATGGCATTTTCGCATAAGCCGTTTTTAGGATAGGGGCTTGGGTGATGGTAAAAAATGTGTTTTTTTTTTAAACTTCTTCATACTATACAAGATGTATTAAGCCGTTGGTCGGCTATGTCTGTGATTGTTAACACTTACCGATCTTCACTAAGTCCGTGTGGTAAGTTATGGATCATTTTCATTAGGATTCTATCAATATGGAAGGCCTGGTGTCCGCCTAACTCTCTAGCCACAGGATATGACATCTTATCGATATTATGTCGATGTTCTATTTCATTTTACTACTTTAACTTCTACTGTAGTAATGTCGAACGAAAGATAAAGAATAACGATTACAGATTTGATAGCAGCGTTACCAACTTAGTCATTTATCCCAAAGGAGAATGAGCGTTTTTTGGGCCTTCAGCGGTCATTGATGAAATTAGTGTTAAAGGAACAAAAAAAGTTGTTCCTAAGCATTACAAACTATTTGATTGCAATTTATCTTGGAGCCAACATGTTCGAGAGGTGTGTTTGGCGCGTACAACTCGCTCAGACGATTTAAAAATCTATCGCCCACTAAAACTAAAATTTCTTTTGCGCAGTCCCTTCTTCTTGCGTTTCTTGATTATGGCGATGTATGTTGCTCTGACCTAAGCGCTGTCCTCCTGAATAAACAAGAGCGTCTCCAGAATTTACGTAAACGTTTCATATTTGGCCTACATAAGTACGACCAAATTTACTCCAACGCCAAACCTTGTTTATTTGGTAATAGTTTATGTTTAGTTTATGAATTAGGGAATGTCCTATGCAGAAGAAAATATGATTTTCATGCGTGTTAAAAGAAATTCGACATTTTCTTTGAACGTTTTTATTTAAAAATCTACTAAATTTAATAAAATATTACCATTGCTATCGATTTTATAAATAATTTGATTAAGATTATTTATTAATCTACAAAGTTTCCACAGTTTTATTGCCCTTATAGCTCCCTTGACTCTCGTCTCGTCACCTTCTTGGAGAAACATGAGATACTATTTACACTCTCGCGAAACATTTGAACTTGCAAACGTGACATCACAATATTGGCAGCAACAACAAGAAAAAATTACTTATCGTCTTCCATCCAAACCATTCAATAAAAAACGCATCAGACAATCTAAACAACACTGAACCATGGCTAGAAATCGCTCCCGAAGAAAGCACTACAGCCGAATTTAGATTACGATACTAGTAGCATGTAATTAGTTTAATTGCATTAATTTCAATAAGAGTTTCGCGAATAAACTTTCACAATACATGCATTAGTTTCCTGACACTAAAGAAATTTATGCGCACATTTTGGATAACACTCATTATCATGAGCCCCTTTACGTCACTGCAGAATTCAGGACTTCCTTATAGATGGTTGGAGGATGGGCCATGACTCTCCACGCGGGCCAAATGCGGCTCAGAGGGTATTAACGACTGCAAATGCAGCCGGGACCAACGGCTTAATACGCCTTTCTTAGCTCGGAGCTGCTAGAGATAATAATTTTTGTTCACCCATTCCATGACCGGCTCTTGCGAAAGTTGCTTAACAACAAAGATCCATTACGCCACCGAACTACTTTTGGTAACAAACAATGTAACTAATATCAGCAGTTACCAATGATTCACATAGCGAAACTACGCGCTTAGTTAAGCTCAAAGACACTATTGATTGAATGCTATTATGAAACTAGCTTCACATGTACCGAAATTAGTTTTGTGAAATATTTTGATACGTATGACACTAATTTCGTCATCTAAATTCGGCTTAAGAGTGACGAGGCGAGCTATGAGCATGTGCTCTACATTTTTTTCTTACACCTCACTTCCATAATCGTCTTGTCAATCGCCTGAAATCTAAATATGACTTTAGGTCAGTGGTTCTTAACCTTTTCAGTTCTGTTATACCTATTATGCAACCTCATTTTACCCCAGCCTTGAAATTGAAGCAAATAATTAATAAGTTAAACTTAGTATCGTTTTGCATCCATCTGTTTTTGATGTTAGGTTTTCGGTGAAAGTAAAATTTTAATCAGGTTTCATTTATTGTTCTCTCATTAGGTATTTAGTTAACCTTTACAGCTGACTTAACGTTCTGGGGTTCAATACTCCTAGATTAGGAACCACTGGTCTAGAGTCATTTAAAATTTGCAATGCAAATAAATTGTGGCAAAGTCTTCGTTGCATATAAATTATACATATTTAATTGTAATATAGACATATGTCATATAGTACATATATATATATATATATATATTTATTTTTAATTTGTCTGACAAATAGTAATTAATTTAAATCAACAACCATATTTTAAAGATATGTCATTTTACTTATTTTTTCATAATATATCGTTTTAAAAAAAACTTTTTTATACAATTCATAGATTTCCGATATTCCAAATAAACAATATATTTGAAATGAAATTACTTTTCAGTGATTAAGCTCTGGAATCCAAATTCTTAATGAGGAACTATTAAAAAAAAGGAAACACTAAAAAAGCACAACACTACATGGCGACTCTAATAAAAGTAGTTTTTTTTTCAGAAAACTAATGCACAAAATATAGCCATTTCTGTTCCTTTTAACTAACATATTAAGAAACTGAAATTTGAAAAGTTCGAAACTTAGTTATCAATACAAATAGAATATGAGTTATTTATTGAGTTTTGAGAATTAATTTACTTTTATACATGAAAGAAAACCGGAAGGGCTGTCATGAAAAATCAAGAACGTACCGTAGCGGCATATAGTTTGATTTCAGGAACTAATGTTTTTTTTTATACTTCCTCATTCAAAGTATTTAACATGTCATTTAGATATACATATAAAAGTGAAATTAACACCTCTGTAATTATGATAGATAATAAATACCTATTTATACGTATAAATAGGTTTAGATATGAAAAATACAATCACATTTACAAATTTCGAACACTTTCATTAATTATTTATCCTACAGAATTTCTTACAATAAAAATTTCCTTCCCGCGCTGTCAAATTTGACAGTTTGAATTCCCGCCAAAATTCTATATTGGCATACATGACGACATACCAAAAACAACAAAGAGGCCATAGTGCTTCCGCCATCTTTTTTTCAACTGCTGCTGCTGTCACTCTCGCTGCTATCCCGTCTCCTCTTATGCTTTTTCTTGTCCCGTTCATGTTTATGTTTAGGGCTGCGCTTGGGGCTATCCCTGCGCACAATGGAATCATTAGCATTCCCAATAATATACATTATTATAATATTCATAAAATTAGGGCGGTTGTTAAATAAAATTATTGCGATTTAAAATCGTTCACACGAAATATGTGCATTCGCGTTTTGCTGCTAATATGTGAATAACACATCCAAAGCCTAACAATGAGTTTATAACTAAAATAATAATGTAAAATAACTAATTAAGTGATTAAAAATCATTAGGAGTCACTAATCGCAATTTTTTTTTATTAATATTTTTTCTAAATTTATAATTAGAAAGGTTCCAATTTGCTTTGCGTATTATTCCCATTTGAAAACTAAATTTGACACAAATTTTTAAAGTACATCTATTTTGAGTTCGAGAACAAATCAGCGCCAATTTCAATTGTTTAAAGTTTGTCTCATGTAAGAAATTTCCCGGCATAACTCTTATTCCTTTGTTATAAAAGCGACTTTTTTCGTGACACGAACACTACCTGCGCACGCGGTGATGTCAAATGCCTGAGTCGTCTGTGGTATGATGGATGTTATTTAATGATTCCTCTGATTCCGATTCCGATTTTTGTTTCTTCTTTGAACTGTAACAGAATCAAATTCAAAATTCATTTATTTTAACACAGACATTACATATTGTTAATAATACTCGTATATTAATAATATAGTAATAAAATATATAATTTAACAAAAAATAAAAAGCACTAAAAAAGCACCTCACTAGATGGCGACTCTAGTAAAAGTTGATTTTTGCAGGAAACGAATGGACCAAAGATAGTCATTTCCGTTATTTTAACTAACATATAAAAAAACTGATATTTGCAAACTTAGATATCAATACAAATACGAAAAAATTACAAATAGAATATGAGTTGTGTATTGAGTTTTGAAAATTAATTTACTTTTATACACGAAAGAAAACCGGAAGGGTTGTCATGGAGAAATCAAGAAAGTACCGTAGCGACATCTAGTTTGATTTCGGGAACTAATTTTTTTTTTTAAATACTTCCTCATTATAACTATTTTTTTTATGATGTTAATTATCACATATTTATATGAATAATGGCATTTTGGTATTACGGCGATATTGCGAGTTTTCCGGTAACATAAAAAACGGCGCTATTAATTTTCCAATATTACTATATAATAATATAAATATTATCTATATATGTACCAATATAAAAACGATAGGTCACTCACTTATCACCAGTGGTCGGAATTAGGTAGAGTTATTCATGTACTTACACTGATTTCATACAGCGAAAGAATAAAGTGGATATGCCTCAAATTGTAAATTTGTATTGTAAAAAATGTAAAGTAATAACAATTTTATGTTAATTATCTTTGTTTTATTTGTCTATCTCTGACGTTGTTATTATTATTTAGTTGTAAGATTGTTGGCCACACGGGATTGTCCATTAGAAATCCATTGGAAGGTCCACATTATATCAACATTTCGATGCAAGTACATAAATAACTCTACCTAATTCCGACCTCTGCTTATCACGAAATATCAGAAACTACAAGTGCTAGGTGTTTCAAATTTTGCATGCGGGTTCTTTTTAGGACGTTCACTAAGAAGAAATTCGACCCCTAATGGAATTAGGGGA